CGTCCTGCCCCGTGCCAGAACCAGCCCGCCGTCCGCGGCCTACTCTAGTTCACCGGCCGTTAATATGGCAAGACTGTCATGTGTTCATGAGGCCTCAGTGTCAGTTCCAGCCCCAGTGTGGCCGAGCCAGCTAAGGCCACGGAGGATCCGCCATGGCCTCCTGAGTCCCCTGCTCCGCACCCCCTCCCTGATGGTACTGTTACGTGCCGTCCGGGAGGGGGGCAATCTGTCATGTGTATGTTCCCGTTTAGTTCCTGTTTTCCTTATTTGGTCCTTCCTGTTCCTGTCCTCGTTGTATGAATTTGGTTCCAGCTGTGTCCCATTGGTGTCTGTGTATTTATAGTGAGTCCCGTTCTGAGTTTCTTTGTCCGGGATTGTTTATGTCCCCTCCTTGTGCTACGTGTGATTCCCTGAAGAGAATATTAAACCCCTTTGTTTTGTACTCCTGGTCTCCTCGTTCCTCGCTCCATGCTCCTCACGGTAGCGACCGTGACAATTCTACTGTACAATAGTGATATATTTCTGTCACAATTACTTCAGATTAGACCGAACTTTTATTTTAAAGGTTTTTTTTTGTGTGTGTATACATTAAATGCTGATAGTTTTTCACAAATAAAACTGTAAAATGCTGGTAAAGCGGTTTTCAAAGAAGCTCTTATATGAAGTTCATGTATTCCTGTCCTCATATGGTGAGAAAACAGGTGCTGAAAACACCACAAACATCACGTGTGCTTCAGTTTGTAGTAAACAAAACCGTGCGTCTGCGCCATTCATTCACACAGAGACACACAGAACATGCAGTAATCATATTTAAATAGCCTTTTTGCAGTTTAATATTCACCTACACTAATCCACATCGCGATTTCAGTAGGTTTACAACACTATTTTAATGAATTCATCCAAAATTTTTCAAATTCCGTGACGATCCGCATTATTTGACTAATTCCGTTTTCATGACTGGATTCCGTGATTCCGTCCGTGTTTTCCACATCGTGGAAATCATAGGGCCATTATCTCATTCTATGTTATTTTAACTTACAAAGGACTTTTTTCAATGTTTATGTTTCAGACTACACCCGTCCCTGGCTACACTTGCATCAGAGTTGGTGACAGTTTTATGTTTTATGTTTCTGAAACGTTCTTGGACTGTTCTGCAAATCCTTGCCAGGTTTTGACTTTTATTACTCCAAAATAAGATTGTTGTTCAGAAGTTGTTAGCCATTTCTGAAAGGCTGTTTTTAGGGGAACGTACACCCCAAGCCCATGCCCATGCTATGTCATACTCATAGCACACAGATACACCTTAAAGGAACACTCCACTATCTTTAAAAATAGGCTTATTTTCCAACTCCCAAATGTATAGTCAGTTCCTAAAGCATGAGTCTCTTGCAAAAAGTAAAAGTCTGCCTTGAATTTCTTGAGATATAAAAAAATGGCTTTTCTTTTTAACATATCACGAATAGGCTACCCCTCACATTAAACGAATATAGACATAAAGACATTGTGCAGAAAAAAGAAACAATCAGTGAAGAAAATAGGCTATCAAACGCCAAAGAACAATGTAACTAAATAAACGGTCAGTCAGTAACCCAAGTGTGTATATTTAAACTAATCCATCAGTGTGAAGGATGATAAATGTCATTTACCTTAGAGTCCAACGCGCTCAAAAATAGAACTTATAAATTAACATCTCAAACAGAGACCAGGTGTAAAAAACTCACGAAGCAAACAACTGTTGCTCCTTACACTCAAACTTCTTTTCCATCGATTATTGCTGTAGCTCCCACATAGAAAGCTCTTTTTCCTTCTTTACGTGCAGCATCAATATGGGGCCACAGTTTTTTACGAGCCTCCTTGTCTGTTGCCGTCAGGTCCTCCCCAAAACGCAGCTTCCTAGATTTCAAATACTCCGATCCTTTAGCGTTCTTCCAGATCAAGTCACCTTTATTTATATAGCGCTTTTAACAATACAGATTGTGTCAAAGCAACTGAACAGCATTAATTAGGAAAATAGTGTGTCAATAATGCAAAAATGACAATAGTAAACACTAATTTTTCAGTTAAAGGCAGTTCATCACAGATGAGATCCCTTGTTGACCTGGCGACGAACCTGATGATAACTGGACAAATCTTCTCCGCGTTCTTCCTGTAGGGATGGGCGATAGGCCTACCTCTTATTTTATTTTCGATCCGATACCGATATTTTCAAGCCCAATATCAAATTTTTTGTTTACACTGTCAGAAATAAAATATATTATAATTGTATTTTAGCCCTTTACTGGGGCAATAACCTCAAAGGTGCAACTATACCCCTAAAAGGGAGCATATTAGTACCATACAAGTAGGCAGGCTTTAAGGGTAGATAAGTTACACATGTGCAAATATGAGGGTACCTCATGAAAAATAAACATGGTGTTACATAAGTACTAAAATGTATTATTTATCATTATTACCATGGTAAATTTGTTATTACTGCAGTTTTACTACAAATACTGTGGTAAACTGTATTATGGTTAATTTTTGTAAAAGGCTGCCAGGCTGTTGTACCCCTAAAGGTGAAACTTTAGCATATTTTTTGCTGACAGATTTATTAACAGCAATTACAGAACATAACACAATGCATTTGAACTTTTAACAACCAGTTTAAATACATTTACTTGCACAAATTAGCCAATTTAAAATAAATATTACATGTACACAAAAGTTTGGGGTGAGTAAGATTTTGTAATTTTTTTTTAAGTCTCATGATCACCAAGGCTGCACTTATGTCAGTCTGAGATAAAAAGATATACTCAGTGAGTTGGTTACTTTTTAAAAATATGGGGGGTAAACATTAAACACATTTACACAGATACATTTATTGGTTAAAAATCAAGTAGTAAGCAACACAACAGCTCTATAAACTTACCATCAGGACAAAGACACCACAGCTGTTGCTGAGATGTTGTCGTGGAAGGCCCTGTTGATGTTACCATGCAAGTTTAAACTACCTTGTAAAGTCTAGGATTTTCCAGTGGTTTTCCAGTTATTCAAATAAACAATGGTACTGTAATATCGTTGACACAGTATTCACGCGAAGGCCCAGGAGACAGGATTTGTGCAATGTTTCTGTGATGACAAATCCAAAGCAAACACCAATACTCAAAAACTCTTACAATACTGCACCAAAGAAAACACATGAGAACTGAAATATGGGGCAGAACCAGAACTTCCCATTAGTATTATGACTGTTTTCATTGACACTTGACTAACTTCAAAACCCTTTCAATAAGTCACTAAAATGAAGTTGAATGAACAAGTCACATAAAATCCTACATGTGGTTAAGAACAACCACAATCTTATCAAAATGCGGTTAGGAACGACCGCAATATCTGAACTTCCAACAGTGCCCTGTAAAACCTGTAGATGCGCATGTATTCTTCCTGGCTGAATGTAATGCCATAAAGAGGATCAAGGAAAAAAACTGCATGTTCTCTTGGCTTCATAATCTGTTGAGTATGTCACAATACATACATAAAAGATGACAATTGCAGTTTAAAGATACTTAAATTATGCAGACAAAAGGTATCACAGACAAACACAACAGATTTAAAATGACTTACACAAACCATCCAATGTCCTGGTATCCATGTTGGGAAGATAAACCAGTCAATGTTTCTGTCCAGCTTGAAAACAAATAATATTGGTCATCACCAAACTTCAAAAACTGTGTGAATGGATCTTGTATGTCAAAAGAAAATGACTAGAATACATACAGGCAAGTGTGACAGATGGTCTTGAAGAGTCCTCTTTGGCCTGATAACTGAGATGGCGCCGATGCTGATGGCTGCCTCCGTGGCGTGATCCGCAGTTGTTTTTATGTTTTTGTTAGTTTGTCCTGTCTTTAGTTATATCCCTGCAATCAGTTTCACCAGAGACGAATTGCTGGACATTCGGAAGTACACACCACCCGATATTTCACCGGTTTTCGATTATTCTGATGTTTTGCTGGACATTGTAGTCGGGGGAGCTGTGGCGCTGATCAAACGCTTTAGGACGCGCAGACGGGGAAAGCGAGCCGGCGCGCTTGTGAAGCTCAGGCAGCGCGGATTCAGAATGCCGTTGCCAAGCATCCATCTGGCATCTGGTCGACGCTACAGAGCACTGAGCACCAGAACGACCAGCCACAGGAACAGTTTCTTCCCTCAGGCCATCACAGGCACAGTTTCTTCCCTCAGGCCTCTCATGAACACTTGACAATAACTGTGGAACACACACTATTTATTCACTCATACACTTATTTATCTAACACACATACTCAGTCTATATTTCAATTTGCACATAATATACCTGTACATACAACTGTCTATTGTTCTATACCTGTACATACAATTGTCGATTTGTATATTTTTTATTCCTTATTTTACTTGTTCTATTTTTTATTTATTTTTATTTTTTATTATCTGTGTTTTTTTGTTCTGTCACTGTCATTCTGTTACACTGTGGAAGCTTCTGTCACGAAAACAAATTCCTTGTATGTGTAAACATACCTGGCAATAAAGCTCATTCTCATTCTGATGTTGCAACATGGTATGAACTGGCATTAAAAACATTCACATTCTGTATGGAAAATGGAACATACTTTAATCTCATTTAAGGCAATACTGAGAATTTTAGATACTAAATACAACAACAGCTGAGAGTTATAACATTCTGACCACTGTGAGTGTGAACACATCTAAAAAAGTAAGAACATTTCAGATAAGGAGCTGCTTAAGTAATTTGAGAACAATCCAAACTGTTTCACCTGTGATTTTGCTATGGTCTCTACCACTTTAAGGCAACAGTTCAGAACCTATTTAAAAAAAAAAAAATATATATATATATATATATATATTTATTAATGCTTTAATACTTTACATATTCAGATTTAATGCCTTTAAACTGTATACCGTTCCCTCAACATAATCTTCCAGTCCCAGACAGCAGAGGTCTGATCTTGTCAGCGTTGTGTTATACACAGTTGTCAAAGGCTCGTCTGGGCACTTACTGGCATCCAGAACATTGTTCAGCTAACATTGAGGCAAAGATACATACACGCTCAGGCTAATGAACAGTATTTTGCAAACTAGATTTTTAAAATTACTTACCAACTGCTGTCATTCGTCGTACTTCCCCAAAATGTACTGCTGGCTTTTATGAAGTTCAGGCTCGTTACCACAGTGTTTGGGCAAAATTCGGGGTCACACTGCGACTGGACAGCTGTACACAAGTAAAACATGAAGACAAATCACTTAAATAGAAGCAAATAACATACACTTCAATGAGCTGAAGGACAACCTTAACCTTTTTGGATTTCTTTCACATTCAGAGTTGTTTTTGTAGTTGGACTATTTGAATTTGGTTCTACATTTGGTTCTGCTCCTATGCATGTTAAAACGATATAGTCAGTACAACTGATAGAATGTAATGACCTTTGAGAATTCACATGCTGTACATGAATAGAATATTTAAACATTACCAAGTATAACCTTTCCATTGCAATCTAATTGCAAATTATGATTGCTATGGACCAATTTCTTGAAGTGTTCCATCTTCTTCCTGTTCCATGCAAGGTTCCGATGGTGAAGGATGTTTCGAGCCAGAAATATGTGTGCAGATGGTCTTAGCATGTTCATGAATTAATTGTTTCTCTTTACTTCAGAGAACAGCTGTCTACATACTGACTGTTGATTTTTCCAGCCAGCTCTGGTCCAAGACCAATAGTGCGCAGCACATCTCTCTCATCCTTATTGTTGTTTTGGTGGAAGACATCACACAGACAATAGTGTTCAAAGGAACCTGTCAATGGGTGGCAGTCAGGATCTGCAGGTTTTTTCCTGTGTGCCAGCCAGGGAAGATGAACCCTTAAATTTCCTGCTTTTGCTTTCTGGATGTTTTCTGGGTAGGGATCTTATACTCTGCCCTCAAAGGTACGGAAAGGTGGGTGAAGTAGCTTTCGCTTGTTTGTGTGCGCCACTAATCCTCTGGGGTAATCATAAACTGTAATATTGGGAAAGTGTTTTCAAGACAAAAGGAGGTCTGCAAAGTCACTGGGACTCTCCGCTCGCAGGTTAAACTTAATGGAATACACAATGCCACAGGGACACGTGATCACAGCCAGGCCACCTAAAAGGATACAAAACTAAATGAAAATGTAAACAATTTTCTGGAAAATCAGTGAAATCATTCCATGAATACATATCCACAAACTACACCAAATTGCCCAGAATATAAGTTTTTTTTAATAATCAGAAACGTGCTGCAACTTATATTCCAAAGGGACTCACATAAGTCTATTAACGTCAAGCATGCAAAACATGTAAAATTAATTATCATCACATTTATTGGAAACATGTAAACTTTTGGCGAATGAGAGAGGTACGTGAGCCCAATGCTGGTTTTGGTTTCACTTTAAATAAATTAGTTTAGGCTTGCCATTTTATTTACCGGTATTTTAATTATTATGGCTTTTATACTCAGGTGCGACTTGTTTTCTGAGAAGGTACAGTAATTGATGTTTTAGCCTGTTTGCCACATTATATTTCTATGTTCATTTTGTAGTATTGAATACTGTCACAAAGCAAAAAACACATTACTCACCAGAAGCACCCCACACCTGTTCAAACACCTTGGTTGATGGTCGGTGAAATGTCCACTGGAATTTTCTTTTTCAAAAGGAAGTATCCCACTGTTGTGGGCAACTTAACTTAAAATGCACTGGTCAAGTTCACATGCTGAACGATAATTTGGGCCTCAAGTATTTTTAATTACATGTATGGGTATTGCTTGACCATGTAAAGACTACTCAACTTTAAAAATACCTATTTTTTCATCAATGTACTGACGCTAAAAGTGCCTTTCGGGAGTAATTGTATGGCCTTTGTTAGTGTGATGCCTTCTAATGTGAGTTTGAAGATTTTTTGACAGCAATGTTAAATTACATTGGCTGCAAGTGACAGTCCTCTTTGAAGATGACTGAGGCACAGGCACAGCTGAGACTGCAGGACAGCGGACGATTGAGGCAGAGGCTGCTGGACAGCGGACGATTGAGGCTGAGGCTGCTGGACAGCGGACGATTGAAGCAGAGGCTGCTGGACAGTGGTCGATTGAGGCACAGGCTGCAGGACAGCGGACGATTGAGGCACAGGCTGCAGGACAGCGGACGATTGAGGCAGAGGCTGCTGGACAGCGGACGATTGAGGCTGGGTTGCTAGTGACTCTGAAGGATGGCTGGCAATGTGTGTCAGAAATTGTGCCCAATTTAACACAGTCGCTGAACAATAGCAGCAGTGAAAGTGGGACTTCGCCCAACATTTTAAATTGCATTTTAAGATGTTGAAGTCTAAAAGGGTACAAAAAAAGGAGGTTTTATTATGGAGCTGTTTAAAATTGACTGAAATTATACTTCTCTTGTCTGTGTTCTGCTCTGGCTCTTGAACAGTCTGTGATGTAATATTTGTCATCAGCAGTTTGCTAAGGTCTGTGCACACAGTCCATGTGCAGCTAGATTTTTGAGATTTGAACATATTTTAGATGCTTGTGTGTTCAACTGTGCGTGAGATAGGTGGAACACAGAAAATGAAGTATACCTGAGCCTTAAAAGTAAACATTCAATAACAAAGTCAGAAACAATTAAATTAACAGCTCACACAATACATAGCTGACTCTTAAAATCACTAAAAGACTGGTAAACTCACCATGATGTTTCACTGCCAATTGAAGGTGATTTTCGATGTGATAATACACCAGCTGTGGCTTACTGGTGTACTGGCAGAACGGGCACTTACTAGTGCAGTTTTTTAAATACTGCTCACACTCCCCTTTGCTTAACACAATTTTGTGCATTTTTACAGGGGAAATGGAACAAGTGGAAATGGCTCTTAAAAGAGCCTTTTGGTTATACAGTGAACATAAAAATAGGAGAGAGATGGAGGGGTAGGATTAGAGACTAACACTAAACACTACGACACAAAGTAATAAAGTAAATAGCAAAAGTGGGAAACAGTGAGTATAATGAAAGATGACCTTTGTTCCAAAGACCTGCAAACAGAAACAAGCACAGACCATGAGTTTTAACATCAAATATTATATTATTCTAGTGCAGTGGTTCACAACCTTTTGTCCTTGACCATCGCCGTACCGTAATTTTACTTTAAGCACAATTAAACTAACTCATAATAAAAGATTAACTGATTATTACAAGGTTTCTGAAGGTGTCATCAAATCTGATTTAATGCTTTTTATTTTTTGTTTTATTTAATGTCATACACACGACCCATAAAATAAATAAATGTAAATTTACATACACACACACACACACACACACATTAGTCAACATTTGAAGTGGATCAAAAACGTTCATTAAAGTTGTCCTAAGACAAGAATGGATATTGTTTTGGTTTAAGGACAACATTAATGAAAGGTTTTGATCCACTTCAAATGTTGACTAGTATAAATATGTAACGTTATATGTATATATCATACTACCATCAAAGGATTGTAATGTTTTTGAAACAAGTCTCTTATGCTGCAGTAATACTAATATTGGGAAATATTATTTCAAATTAAAATTACTTTTCTATGTGAATACATACATTTTTTTTTAAATTCATTCCTGTGATTCAAAGCTGAATTT